TTTTATTTTCAAATTTTTTACTTTTATTATTAATTAATTAATCTTATTATTTCATATTTTTTTTTCATTTTTTCCTTCTAATTAACTATTTAATGATTTATTTTTTCTTCAATATTTAAAAAGTTGGAATAAAATTGGTGATGAAGGTGCATCAGGCTTAGGTTCTGGTTTAGCAAATTGTATTAATCTCTCAAATTTATCACTTGACCTTCGGTAAAAACAGTTTATTTGTTTTGGATTGTGATATTTATAATTATAAAAACTAATTAAAAACAATAAAGCTCTTTTTTCTTTTTCTTTTCATTGTGCTTGCTTTTTTTTGTTCTTTCTTTGTTAATTTATTTAGCTCATCCTTTTATTTTCAATTTTTTTGCTTTTATTATAAATTAATTAATCTTATAATTTCATATTTTTTCTTCATTTTTTCCTTCTAATTAACTATTTAATAATTTATTTTTTCTTCAATATTTAAAAAGTTGGAATAAAATTGGTGATGAAGGTGCATCAGGCTTATGTTCTAGTTTAGCAAATTGCATTAATCTCTCAAATTTGACACTTAAACTTTAGTAAAATCAGTTTATTTGTTTTGGATTGTGATATTTTTAATTATAAAAACTAATTAAAAACAATAAAGCTCTTTTTTCTTTTTCTTTTTCTTTTAATTGTGCTTGCTTTGTTAATTTATTTAGCTCATCCTTTTATTTTCAAATTTTTTACTTTTATTATTAATTAATTAATCTTATTATTTCATATTTTTTCTTCATTTTTTCCTTCTAATTAACTATTTAATGATTTATTTTTTCTTCAATATTTAAAAAGTTGGAATAAAATTGGTGACAAAGGTGCATCAGGCTTAGGTTCTGGTTTAGCAAATTGCATTAATCTCTCAAATTTGACACTTGACCTTAGGTAAAAACAGTTTATTTGTTTTGGATTGTGATATTTATAATTATAAAAACTAATTAAAAACAATAAAGCTCTTTTTTCTTTTTCTTTTCATTGTGCTTGCTTTTTTTTGTTCTTTCTTTGTTAATTTATTTAGCTCATCCTTTTATTTTCAAATTTTTTACTTTTATTATAAATTAATTAATCTTATAATTTCATATTTTTTCTTCATTTTTTCCTTCTAATTAACTATTTAATGATTTATTTTTTCTTCATTATTTAAAAAGTGGTAATTAAATTGGTGACAAAGGTGCATCAGGCTTAGGTTCTGGTTTAGCAAATTACATTAATCTCTCAAATTTGACACTTTAACTTGAGTAAAATCAGTTTATTTGTTTTGGATTGTGATATTTTTAATTATAAAAACTAATTAAAAACAATAAAGCTCTTTTTTCTTTTTCTTTTTCTTTTAATTGTGCTTGCTTTTTTTTGTTCTTTCTTTGTTAATTTATTTATCTCATCCTTTTATTTTCAAATTTTTTACTTTTATTATTAATTAATTAATCTTATTATTTCATATTTTTT